AAAATACGTAAACCCGCTGCCATAATCAGCCCGACTCATCAAAGCCCTCGTGGGAGGTGGCGGCCACTAGCGGAAGGCAAACCTCCTCCTCGCAGAGTGACTCGACCACCTGCGCCAATTGTCGGTTGCCGTCGTCCGTGTTGGCTCGCGTGGTTCAGTCGCCTCAGCCCTGGAGCCCGCGCCGCCCGACCATGCGCGCCGCCTGGCTGTCTCTAAAGACCTCTAGAGCTGTCCCTGCATCACCCTGTTCCCCCGCTGGTGCCTGGGATCTGCCGGGCCCGCTGCCAGACCCGCCGGACCGCGCGCGCCGTCTGGCTGCCTCAACCTCGGCATCAGGGTTCGGCGCGGTGATGTCCAGCGCGCTGCCTTCCCCGACCTGCCGATGGAAGCTGCGGGTGCTCTCAGGTTGCGCGCGCTTCCCATCTAGCACCGGCAGCCACGCCGCGACGCTGGGACTTTAGCCCAGGCATCCCCCCACCAAATTGGACGGAAAACAACCGCGCCGTGCGCAAACAACCGCATTGCCTGCCGGTGCCGGAACATGCCCGAGCCCGAAATGGACTGTCCACCGCCATCCTCTGGTCGACGGCTTGAATTCGCACCCCAAGTGCATCTTCCGTCTCCGAACCAAGCATATCATCAGCAGCGACAAGCGCCACCTGCACCGCGAACGTTCGCCACCGCTTGTAGCTAGATCCCTTGGGCGGTCCAGCGAAACCATCCGCGCGATGTTGCCGTAACTTCGACGGCGCGCACTGAAGCCTGACACTCCACCCTAGATTATCAAGCTGATTTTGCGCGCATGCCGTGGCTCCGCAATTCCGACACTTCCAACGCCTGACCACCTCGCGGACATGAAAGATGCCCACCCGGCACCAGCCGTTGATGCGTATCTTTCTCTGCCAATGGATCTATCCCCTTCTGCCCCACAACTGCGATCGAAATGCCCCGGGGTACTCATCGCGCGCCGTCTCGCGAGCTTCGTTGAAACCTGTTGAACGCACTCCGGACACCACTGGCGACGGCCAGACTCTCGGCCCCCAGCTGAGCAGAGCAATCAGCCCAGCTGTTGCCCAGCACCCACATCGGGTCTCAGCCAGGAGGGCCGCGGCCCACGACCACCTCAAGGAACTGGAGATGCGACGGGCACCAATCAAACTGCAGAGGCTGGCCGTGAGCTTATCAAAAAGTCTACGAATGGCCAGCCAGATCCTGGCGCGCGCAGATCCAACGCCTCCCCCATCGCAACTCCATCGCCGGCCTTCAGTGACCAGCGCCGGCAAGTCCGGTGCGATGGTGCCCGCCGAGTCGAAGTGGCATACTGCCCGCAGAATCGCGCACCTCTCCGCCGCGCCAACAGTCAGCTGACGACCTGGCAAACCACCACCAGCCACGCGCATTGAGCAGCCAATCGGCGACATCTCCACCACTGCCCAAGCACACCTGCGTAGCTCAGGAAAATCAGGAAACAACAAGCGCCTGCCCTCGCCCTCCATGTCGCCCCAAATCCCCCACAAGCACACGGGAAGCCGAGCGCCTAAAAGTTCGGGCATGGCAGAAGTTGCGGTAGCCCGACAGGAAGCTCAAAGGACTCCAGTGCCACCGCGCATTGAATAATCACGACGCTCTTTATCACCCCTTTCGCGGTACGTGGCCAGACTCTCAAGCATTGGGCGCCCTTCCTCGCCCTGCTCAACATGGCTGATCACAGCGGGGCACTCGAAGCAACAGTGCCCAATGTATTCATCAGAAATCGGGCGGCCCCTGCGCCCCTGGCCCGCCACCTTGCCATGGTCGAACAAGCGAGTCTTGGCCCGCAGCGGGCCAGACACTGCGCCCGAAGGGCCCCGGCTGCAGACCGCGCCTCGGCCGCAGCTGCCTTGGCCCCAACGCGCAGACGCAAACATCGAGCCCGCAACTGCGCGCTCTGGTCCGCGCTTGGGCGATGCTGCGAGACTCGTTTCAGCGCCCCAGCTGGACACTTAGCGCGCGCAACTCCTTCATGAACTTGGGTGGTACGTTCATCGACGAGTGGCGCTGCCCACGGACATCCCTGGCGACCAGGGAAGGAACAATTCCCCAACCAACTCTGAATAATAATAAGTAGACCACTGCCAGCGGACCCCTCGCCCCCTGCCAGTGCGCAAGCTTGCTGACCACGCTGCGCCAAGCTCTCTCGCTATCGCCGAGGCCAAACGTCTGCTCCCAGCTACACTTGCGCAGCGCCAACATCGGAATAATCGTGGCATCAAACACTGGGTCGTAGTAGGCGCCCTCATGGGTTGCCAAGTACAGCGCGACGCTAGCCCCACGACCTGGGCATCCAACGAGACTCGCCGATGAGCTGCGCATGGAGCGCAGCCCCACATCCGATTACCCCCCTGACCATAGCACCATGCCTGACTGATGAAACAAGCCGATCTATATAGCGCCAAGATCTGAAGCGCGGCCGTGCTCTTGAAACGAAGCGCACGCTTGAGACGCTGCTTCAGCGCCCCTTGGCGCTTCTTCGCCTGCGTCCTGCGGGCCACCTTGTCATGCTGCTCGTGCCCGAGGTGGCGCGTCTGTG